CGTCCCCGAGCCAGGTGCGGAAACCGGGGTGCGGAACCACCCGGGCCGGGCCGGGACGACTTCCACCCCAAACTCCCAAGCAGAGGCCACGCTAGAGGGACAGGGCGGATGGCGTTGCCCCCTGCGCCTACTGTCAGTGGGAAAATTAACAACAGCGGAGAATATGAATGAATGAATGAACAAACAAACAAACTGATGAGCTGGGGTGGAAAGCTAGGGTGCGAGCAGATGGGGGAGGAAGGCGCCAGACGCCAAGGAGAGGCGAGAAGACTGCGGGAAACGCTACAGACGAACTTCTGTTCATACTTTTCAGTGTGCAGAGAACTGACCCCTGCGTAGTTTTAATTTTCACCTCAGCACTGTGAGGCGATGCTCTCTTCCTTGCACAGTTCAGAGAAAGAAGCTTTAAAAGAGGTGGGGCAGTTCCTTGTAGGCAGACAGGAGGGACAGGGCGCTGCGATTTTGAGATTGTGGAGGCAGGGGCTCGGTTGCCCAGAACATTCTTACCTGTTTGACATGAATATTCCTAGAGGCATTATTTTCTCCATTCAGCTTTGTTTTTAACCTTTGTTTCAGTGTTACCTTATCAACTAAGCAAAAGGCTCTAAACATATTCCTATTTTTCCAGTCACTAGGAAATAAAATTGTGCTTATGAAAAGTATCTTTAAAATCGTAATAAAAGACCCCGCAGTAATTATTGTTTTTAGGTTATTGGGATAGTAAACGATTTTGGATTTTAAAATTGAAGAACTGGCCAGATCATTTGCAGGTTTTTCAGTCAAAGATCTAGTAAAACATAGTGAATGTTAGAACTGAGTAATTCCGTCCCCAAGAGAAAAGTCTGCTTCATCCACAGGGATTTATTTCTCCTGCATTCTTTTAATGCCTCTATCATTTACAAAATACTGAAAGATTTGATTCCATATCACGAATCATTCCTGGCAGTTATTAGATTATATATGTTTGGCCCTGCAAATGAAACCTGCCATCCACATCACCAAAAAACAAGCAAAAGGTTGATAGTACTAAAGACTGTTCAGAAGGGAGTGGAACCCCAGCCTCGCCCACGTTTGCCAGTGACCCATTAATCCTTGCTGTCCACACCCTGCCACACTAATATTCTTGGATCACGGGGATGAGACAGAGCACACAGCAACACACAGCCAAATGCCCTGCCTCACATGGTCATGCCAGGCACTCCTGTTCCCACCTTCACCCCATGCCTGCTCCTTTCCCTAGGACACTTGCCACATACATGCAAGTCATCAAGATGATCTGTCCCTGTCTTTCATGTTTATGTGCCTGTAAGCATACATTCTGATGAAAATGTGAAACATTACTTGCTTGAATTGTAGAATGATAAGTGAGTAGAAGTTTAAGGTCCTTTTGAAGCATTACATAGTTAATACGGACTTCAGTTTAGCTAGTTACAGAATGGTTTGCCTCATTTTTGTTTGCTGAGTTATTTGAAATAAGAAAACCTTTAGCACAGTGGTGATACACTGTTATACTGAACTTTTGACACATTTGTTTTGAATTTACATTTTTACAGATAATTTGTATCTTTCCTTAACCCTCAGTAATTGACGTTGATCAAATCACTGCCATCCTTGTTGTCAAACCTCTGAACTTTACCATTCAGGGCTCAGATGTACTTTTAGACTTTTTGCTCATTGTCTCCAACACAAACCCCCGTCCCAGAGAGAACCGCCTGGTCCCTGCCTCTGAGCACAGATGCCTTTACTCGGGCCACCCAGATTGCCACAGTCTGGGAACCACCGTCCCTTCAGGGTCAGCTCTAGCTCTTCTCTCTCTCCCCAAAGCCTTCCCATGGATGCTGCAGCCCTAATGACTTCTCTCTACCTGTACAGTCTCAAAGCATCGCTTGCCAGTACCACGCTTTCGGCAACCATGTACTAGCCTTTGACAAGCCTTTCGTTAGTATTTGACCTTTGTGCTGTTTACTTTTCAGGTTGAATGGGTTTTCCTTTTCTTTATACAAGTCTGTCACTGCCAGTGCTTGAGCTTATGGCCATGATCAGAATGTTTGGTGGGGGAGGGAGGGTGATAAAGAAAATGAAGGGAGGAAAAGCAGTTTTCCTAAGCCCACTGCAAAAACTGGAACCAGAGGAAACGGAGAATGTTAACTCCTTGTATATATGTGTGAGAAAGAACCTGAGCTGGAATTCAAACAGAGGCACTTCGTCTGAAGAGGAAGGAGGAATTGAGAGTGAGGCAGCTAAATCACGAAGCAGTTCCTGCTGAACCTTTGTTAGTTCTTGTGCTGAAGGGAGTTTTGGCCATCAGGGGCAGCCTTGGGAGAGGTGGGTGGGGACGGACGGGGGGATTTAGAGATCAAACAGAGGTTTCTCTATGCTGTGATGTTCTTGAGTTCAGCATTCATTATTTGGGAGAGTGAATGCAGGCTCGTGGCTCTCAATCTAACATCTTTGATGAGGATCAGAGCTTTTTTTTTACCCTTGGCAAAGATTATGTTCACTTTTACCAGACTGAATTAACACTTAATCATAGCTAGAATGCATAGAATGTCAGATCATATTCTAACCACTTTAAATATATTATATTATTTAATACTTAGAAAGCTCCTTGAGGGAGACATAATTATCTCCATTTTCTAGATAAGTAAACTGAGGCAGAATATTAAGCTATTTCTCCAAGGCCACTCAGCTGGTGGTTCCAGAATTTGAACCCAGGCAGCCTGACTCCACACCCTGCCCTGTTAATTATATGCTGTGTTCATCAACTGTTGGCTTCAATTTTCTCCAAAAGGAAATTTCTGTCATCTCCGTCGTACAGTGTTTATTTAGTGCTGGATACTGATGGCACAGTGAAAACCTCACTGGATTTAAACGGATTTTTAACAGGACATGTTTCCATTTTAAATGGCATAAAGCAGGTCTGTTTTTAAATTACCCTCTCCAGCCGGGCGCAGTGGCTCACACCTGTAATCCCAGCACTTTTGGAGGCCAAGGTGAGCAGATCGTCTGAGGTCAGGAGTTCAAGAACAGCCTGGCCAACATGGTGAAATCCTGTCTCTACAAAAATACAAAAATTGGCTGTGCATGATGGCGGGTGCCTATAATCCCGGACACTCAGAAGGCTGAGGCAGGAGAATCCCTTGAACCCGGGAGGCAGAAGTTGCAGTGAGCCGAGATTGTGCCATTGCACTCCAGCCTGGGTGACAGAGTGAGTGACGCTCTGCCTCAAAAAAAAAAAAAAAAATTACCCTTCCCCCGCACACTTCTTGTTAACAAATTCCTTTGTAATGTGGCATTATTTTAAAATGAGCTGGATGCCTTGTAGGGTACTAACATATCCCAACAGCAAATTAAGAAGAACTGAACAACAATATTTTATATAAACAAAAACTCTCAAATATTTGGAAATTTCAAATCACTCTTCAAAACAGATACTGATACTAAAACCTAGCAAAGACAATTCTCTTAGAATGAGATTTTGATCTTATAGGAATGATATTCAAGAATGGACTGTCTTGCCTTGGTGTGGTCATCATCCTTCTGCAGTTCCTGAAGATGAGCAACACCATAGACAATGGCAGAAGGCAATAAGGAATTTCCTTACTTTAAGTTCCTCTAACTCTAGTATGGGGTGACCTGGCTATGTGGGCCCAGGACTTGGGCACTAGGCTGGAGCCTTTCTCTCTTCTAAACTCAGATCTTTCCACCAGCTCCTTTCCAAGACTGGGAGGGTGAATGAGCAACACTGCTTATGAGGGAGGAAGACAGATGAGAGGTTCTGTCCGCAATAAGAGATCAGCTCATTTGTCTGGCCTCCTTTCTCTGTGGAGAAAGAGCAAAGTACCAAAGGGAGAGCCACACAAGGGTTTAAAGCTTATAAACTTGGCACCATCAACATCCTGGAATCTCATCCAATTATATCAGTGTTCCCCGTTCTTGATGAGTGAAGAAGAGAGAGGAAAGTGAGAAAGAGTTTAACATTAAAAGAATTAGGGCCAGGCATGGTGGCTCACGCCTGTAATCTCAGCACTTTGGGAGGCTGAGGTAGGCGGATCATGAGGTCAGGAGTTCGAGAACAGCCTGACCAACGTGGTGAAACACCATTTCTACTAAAAATACAAAAAAAGTAGCGGGGCTTTGTGCAGGCACCTGTAATCCCAGCTACTTGGGAGGCTGAGGCAGGAGAATTGCTTGAACCTGGGAGACGGAGGTTGCAGTGAGCCAAGATCACCCCACTACACTCCAGCCTGGGTGACAGAGTGGCCTCTGCCTCAAAAAAAATAATTAAATAAAATAAAATAATTAGAACATTCTCACTGATTAATATAATTATAAAAATCCTAGGTAAAAATTCCAACAAATTGAATTCAATGAAATATATTTAAAATGATTTTTTTATTTGTAAAAATAGATGCCTTTTTGCCAATTTCATTTCTAGGTTTCCTAGAAAAGACACAGAAGTGTTTTTGTTTTTTAATTTAAGTTCTAGGGTACATGTGCATAACGTGCAGGTTTGTTACATATGTATACTTGTGCCATGTTGGTGTG